ATGTAATCAGGTGCAAAAAGAAATAAAAAGTAGTTACATCAGACTAAGACTGTATTTAAAAAAAATATAAATGTAACAAATCAAATTTAATACAGTTACAATTTAGATTTTATTTAGCCTCATGACACTTATTATCCACCTTACACAAGTAGATACTAAAATTGTGCCCCGTGCTGCAGTTGTAAATTTGTATCATATTTTACACCATAAACATGTATTATGATTCCTACTGTTATTAAAAATCAGAATTTTTTTTCATGGCATATTTAGTGTCTAATAAACTGCTGATCTTGGAAAACATACCAAAACGTTTATTTCATTTGAAGATTTAATTTTACTTGCTTTAAAGGCAGCTTTTATTCTGATTTTTTTTTCTACAGGGTAAAGACAAATAAAAGAGGCTGAGCTGGCATTTTGTTTGCCCTACAGACCCTGAATCTCTAAAGCACACTTTTATAAAATTCCATTAAAAATAATAATACGTTTAATAATTTCCCCTCTTTGTGTATTGGAAATGGTTAAATATTGTATATTTTTGGGGGTTAAGCAATATTTTAATCACATCTCAATATGTCATGTGCATTATGATAATGTTCTCATAAAAACCCCTGTTTACATGCAAAAACAAAAGCATCTTGCCCTGATTTTTAATACATGTTAACATAAAAAGCATTTAAAAAAATAAACATATAAGAGAGAGTTTTTTTTTTATTCATTGTAAAGTTTCAAATCAAGGTGAATTGCGTTTGGAAATTCTAACCTCAACATGGCAAAACCATACAGATGAAAAACAAAACTCTCCAATAACACCACTCACCTCCCAAACCCCCCTGCACCCATCTTGACTTTCAAGAGAATGCAACTGCTGATTTTTTTTTATTTTTTTATTTTTTTAAGTGCAACGCTACTAAAAGATGCAAAAAAATGCTGTAATTCACACAGCAAGTAAAAGGGTTTCTGAAATGTTTCCTATGAAACATAGACAAAAAGCAATAACGAAGATATACGTGGATCTTTCTGAAGTATAAGGATCTGAGCTAACATCTTTCAAGAATACAAAAAAAAAAAAGAACAAACTTGGAATGAATAGTGCTATTCTCATCTCCTAAACAGGCATAAAAACATCTCAATTTTCCTTCTTTTTCATCCCATTTTAATGACAATGAATTAGTTTTATGTAACAGATTATAACTTTAATGCACAAAGTAACGTCTCCTATAGAAATAGTTGCTTCATTTTCTTATTTGCTACAATTTGCAAATGTAAACAGCGAGGCCGAGCCAAAAGCGACTCCAATGCATGATGGAATATCTTTGTTGCATACGTACAAAGTAGAAAATAATTATTTTATATGTCAGGCACCATTATTTGAAATGTAATACATTAATAATTACTAGAAAAATAAGACTTTGTTCTCCCAAACTTTGTTAATGAAAAAAGAAACCAAGGACAATCTGACAGGTTATTCAGTAGCTTGTAACATCAATGCATATCATTTGAATAACTGAAGTGCCGTATCTGCTAACTAGTACAGTACCCACAAGAAAAAAAGTTTACTGGATGGCAAATCAGCACCTTCATTTATGTAAGTACTTAGTGCTATTCCCTGAGCAATTATGCTAGGGAGTATTCCCTTCATATGCAAGCGTCTTAACACGGATATACAGTTTGTCATTTCAGCTGTTTCTAGAAGTAGAAGCCTATATTGTAAATGGTGTGGCCATGCAGTCTCTGGCCACAGAGTTAGAAGATACCATAGTGTTGAAACATTGAACCTAGCCTTTAATGGACATTCCTCCAAGGGATTATGTTATTGGGGCATGCCCAATGGAGATAATATAGAAATGTCACCAAAACACCAGACTCCTTCAAGGAGACTATCCTTGAAGGAGTCTGGTGTGCTGGTGACATTCTATATTATCTGCAACTGGCGGCGCCATCCGCGGTCATTCCAAGCACCCTTCCTCATATTCAGGGCTGTCCGGTAAGGAGTGCAACAAACCTCTCTCTTCATATGCCCAATGGTGAGTGCCCCATGATCCTGTGCATTGTTATTAATAGATATGTAACATGTATCATAGTTTAATCTGCCAATGTCCGGAAGGCATCCATTTGTGCCTGACTGCCATTACATGATGGGACAGATTTAAAGGGATAAGAATAAGCACAACACGCTAGGAGATGCATAAAGGTTACATTAACAATGCAACTTGCATTAAAAAATCTGCCCAAGAGTAGCGTGTGAGGATGCTACTATAACATTTCCTGCTGCTGCTGAATAAAGGACAAAGCTGTTATGCTATTCTGTATTTATAATGCAACCACTTTGCCATGTACATCTGCCTGCCTGCAGGGCTAGACTATTTTGCACCCTAGGCAAGACCGGCTACTTGCACCCCCCCAGCCCACTACTGCAGCACAACCCCCAATCCCCCCGTGCAGCCCCATTCTTCTGTTGGATAGCTTCCACAGGCAACAGGTGAATATAAGCAGCTGAGAGCAATAGACAGACTTCTATTGGCAATCTCATTTGAAATAGCAGACTGGCTATTAAAACCCTGCCACTGAGCAGATAAGCGGACTTGAGAGAAAAAGTTGTCTCTCAGTTCCGCTCCTCTGCTCAGTGGGCTGGTACAATAGCCAGCCTGCTATCGGCAATTTGAAATAGACATGGGGGTGAGTGTGAGGCTGCGCCACAAGGCTACAGTGCACCCTAATTGGCTGTCTAGTTTGCCTAGTGGCAGCACCAGCCCTACCTGCCTGTTTTTCCCATTTTACATTTTATTTATAATATGGCTGATGTTACATTTCGAGGAACTGATCACTTTGAAACATCTGCCATTTTCATAATGGTAAATGATTGCTTTCATCCCCAATTTCCTATTTGCTGCACATTCACACCCTAGTTATGATAATATCCTCTTTTGTGTACACAAGGCATTGGCCTCCCTGCCCAGATTCACCAAGCTTTCATCGATATGTGTGAATCTTTAAATACCTGATCATTTTGGTACAATATAGATACATGCAAAGTTAGGTATGGTTCATGTAGCATTCAAGCCAAAGCTTTGTGTTTTTATTTTTGGATGGAGTGAGTAGGGATCAGAACCTCTATCAAAGTATTAATGCTGCTATGTCCCTGTTCAAGAGGAGCCCCCTCATTTCCTGTGCCAATGAAAGTGCAAAGCTCTCCAACAGAGGCACTTTAATGAAGAAAAGTTTGTCAGGCTTTAAATTATGTCTTTATCCCTTTTGGGGACCAAACAGTAATACAAACTTGAAAGACCTCTCCTCACAGTGTCTAAAGCACAAACATGGGCTGGATATAGGTATACTGATATGTAATTAATCTATATGCCCTTATCATTAGGTTGAAATGCAACTAAGGGATGGGGGAATTGCTTTGCCAAGGCACAATAATTTTGCTCATATGCGTGAGTGTAAGAGCTCATTCCCATTTATGTGCACTTAGTATCAACAGACTTTTTTTTGTACGTAAAGATGCAATTCCATGAAGGTGCCATTTTGTCAGTTCATTAAAAACCCAAAATCATCAAGCAACCCTTTTTTGCTGTAAACCAGAATTTACAGGGTTATCACTTCATTACAAATGGGGACATTCTGGTGTCAAGCAGCTATGTACTGTTGTCAGGTCCCAGAAATGATGTCCACTCATTAATATAGTTTGAACTCACAAAATGGCTCTTTAGTTATACCAAGTACCTGCCAAACTGTAAACATGTAAACTAGCACACTGCCTGGTTCTATATTGGTTTGCTTTCTGATATGTTTTACTTGCACCAATTAAGGACAAGGTTATATCACAGTAGGCATGCCAGTGATTCCTCTATACATAACTTTGCTTCTATAGAGTGGCACAAAATTTAGCTGGAATTACTTTTTTTAGGCCTGGTGATTTTGCAAGTTTCTAATAAATTGATAGGTGCCCATGATGGCTAACATATGGTATCACAGCAATATAGACACAAGAAGATGACCTTGTGTTCAGCACACATATGGCCAAGATAGGAATGCTAATTAAATACTTGTATCTCTTATCTTCACCTAGTATTATATGCATACAAACTTAAAGCTCAATTGAACATTCAGTTAAAATGCGCTAAATACATTTCAGGTCATAACAACAAAAAGTGTACAAAGACCTACAGTTGGCTTTCCCTAGAAAGCAGCCACAGCCTGATTGGAAAAGTCCATCCCTTGCCAGAATGCTTCAGAGAAGGACCCTTTCTCACGATGTGGAAACAACGGTCTCTTTACAGAGCTCTGACACACCCCGCTGAGTCAGAGCTAGAGCTCTCCTATCAAACTTTAAGAACTGGAATGCATTTTGTTGATTGAAACTGAAAGTTCTGTTTGGCTTTAATGGTGGAGACATGTGTCCAATTATTTACACAATGGTTCAATCCATTAAGAAAACATCCATAGGTGGAGGCACAGATTTTGGCCTCAACCAGATTTTTGGTTATGGATGATTTAAGCCAGTGGTTCTCAACCTTTTTAGGGTCGGGACCCCTTGGTAACATTTGCTAAGTTTTCAGGAGGCTATGCGTGCTCTCAGGTGGTTAGTGGGACTCTCTGGTGGTGCCCAGTGTGGGCTCTGTGGTGATCAAGCACTCACCTCCCCTCACTCCTGCCTGCTCCCCTCTCTCTAAACCTCTCCGGCTGCTGCTGCAGCTGCAGAGCCATCTAAGGGAACCGACACTGCCAGGCTAGAAGGAGGCTGAGGAGCCTCTTACCTAGAGCAATACAAGGCACGTGGGGACCCCCTCAACTGTGGGTTGCAACCCACTTGTGGGTTGCGACCCACAGGTTGAAAACCACTGATTTAAGCTTTGTACCTTTTTTATTTTGCCTGCCTATACCTGTGCATCAGTGGCATGTACATAGTCTTTCTTCAAATGTGGGAGTTTTGTGAACTGGAAAACTGTAGGTAACAATGTACATTATACATATATTGGACGGGCCATGCTGTTATCTCTTCTTACGTTAATTACGATTACAAAAGGAACATAAATGAAACGTCCACAGTTTCAAACTGTATTCAGAAATTACAAGCTACTGAATTTCTATTCAGAGAATGCAAATGTAGTTAATTGTGCTAAGTGCTAACATTTTTTTTTATTCTTTAGCTTTTCCATTCTTTTCAGCTTGTGCAACGTTCCTATGTAGACCTCTCTGGATATGAGTAGTGAAATCATACTTGTCCGTGCAAAGATGTTGGCATATACTACATTGAAAAGGTCCACTTTCCCCGTGGCAACTCATATGTAGAGCATACATAACTTCATCCAGAAACACAATGCCGCAGTGCACACATTTCGTTGAAAGTTCATCTTGAGTACTTCGATCCACTCTTTCAGTTTTTACTACATTCAACGGGCCATCATCCTTTGCACTCAAAGAAGGTGACTGAGTTTTTTCTTTCGAGGCCCCGCTGGATGCAGATCCAGGTCTGGAATGCTTCATTGCCAAGTCTAGAGGAATGTCATTGTCAGATCCAACAGTGGAATATTGAGCAGGCAGATTAAAGGTGGGATAAGGCACGTAATTTGGGCAAGGGTTTTGTAGGCCAGGCACATGACTCAAGTAGTGAGGATTCCCAGGAACAGACAGCTTATACTTACTCCAAAATCGCAGCCAGTCAGCTTCACTCTGGAAGTCATTGTGAACGATTGGAAGTCCAAAGAGTGGGTACTGATACTTTTCTATGGGACTTCCTGGTGGGGAGTAATTTGGATGCTTAATAGGTCTCATGTACTTCTCAATTGGGCTACCTCTTTCTGAGCTGCCTTTGCTGTCAGAGACGGATGAGATATTCCCTGGATCTCCACTGCTTTCCTGAGGGCTTTTAATCTGTATGTGCAAAGGTTGCATCCTTTTGTGGATATCCATGGTTTGGCTGACTAATATTGTCTGCTGGGCAGAATGGCTTTTAGTCAATGAAAATGGGGACTCATATTTATTCATACCAAGTTGCTGAGCTTCTCTCTGGTGACCTTCCATTGAATGTTCCTCTGACCTCCTCTCTAAAGGACTTCCATTAGTTTGTTCTTCGCTGCTTCCTCTTTGATGTTTATTTAATGGTTCCGTTTGCAGTGCTTCTGGGTTAAGGCGTTTCCTTGTCCGTCTTCTGATAATCTGCTCGCCATTGTTCTGCTTAATGATGTTCAAAGGCCTGGGAGTCTGTGTAAGAGATGAAACACATATTAGATAAAACAAAAAGTATTTTACTTTTAATGATATTTAATACTGGGGTTAACTTGGATGCCTTGTGTTCACTGAAACAAGCATAACATTTTTATTTAAAAAAAATACAAGAAAGACAAAGTTCTAATTTCCGCTGGTAAAAGACTTGTTAATATTTAATCACCGGATTAACTGGCTGCACTGCTGTGATGCAGTTAAAAAATCTAGGCTTGCAAATTTTAAACTCACAATAAAATCATTAAACTGTTCATCTCAGCCTACAGATATTTACTATTGTTTCAGCTCCACTTGCTTTTGGTGTACAATGCTGTGCTCAGAAAAGACAAGTGTCTATATTGTTAAAGGGAACCTGTACTGAGACAAATATGGAGGCTGTCACTTGTCAATGTTGACCTCTTCTTGTGAAAATGGCCCTGATACTGGCCCAGAACAATTATGCAGATTAAGAGTTCTTCTTCATTTTCCGCATACTTCTTCTATGTCAATGAAGTACTGAATTTATGGCATCAGCATGACTGCCAGGAACTAGCAGAAAGGACAGCCTTTATATTTCATTTAGCACTGGTTCACTCTCTGACCCACAATCTGGCCAATCGAGTTATTAGACCATGATGTCACTGATGACCAGGAAACAAAGAAGCATGGTTTCTGATCATGTGATCACCATGACAGCCAATAATGGTTAGGTTTGTTTACAAACAAACCTGGTAGTTGCAGTTGGCACTGTGTATTACAGTGTGTAAAAAATTAATATTGATAAGTTTAAAATATTTGTAAAAACGGTAAAATAACCAATACTTTTTCTTAAAATTTTTGCATTTGTCAACTTTTCATCAAAAACAAGAGCAGGGTATTTAATGAAACAGTGCACCAGCTAAAAAAAAAGCCTTATATGTCCTTAAAAAAACTATTTAAGTAGGCAAATTAGTTATTAGATAGTATCAGTTATTGTTATGTTGACTGACACATGCTAAAGCTGCTGACCCCATTAACTGTTAGAAAATTGAACACATTTAAACAAATTCTAACCGTGTATACCCAGCTCTGCTCAAGTCAGCTGCAGCCTTGTAACCGGGAACTCATGAGTAGCTATGCCAATGCACATTGTGCTGACTACTTTAAAGTGATCTTAAAGTAACTTTTTAACCATTTGATAAAATCATTTACAATGGATGCTGCTCCTTGATTTTTAAATGTTTTAGTTTCTTGGAGAAATCAAGTGGCCCTCTGAGCACTGGTCCTGATATCCTGTTCTAGGGGGGCTCCTTTCCCTTGCAGTGTCCTATGGAGCCACCTATGTGTGCTAGTAAGTTGTGTGCGTCTCCGCAAACAGGCCGGCACAGCAAGGCAAGACACTCCCCTATTCCCTGCTCCTGTTCAGGGAAGCAGAGCTGAGAGGGTTAGAGGCAGCTATTTGGAAACAGGATATCTGTAAGAGCTTGGGCAAAAATGTAAAGAAATACTATTCAGGGCAATATATAGTGTTATAATATATTTATTATTTAAAAAAAAAATGGTTGAGAGTTTAATACTACTTTAAGTATTTTTTGCTCATGTTTGCCATTGTTGGTGTTTGTAGATGCCTGATGAGGGGGAGTGGCCTCAAAATGTTGCTTTATGACCAGATTTGTGTACAACAATAAAATGACCACTCGTTGAAGATTTTACTTTGGTGTGCTGGTGATATACTTTATTATTTGTACATGCACAGAAGCCCTCATTCACACTAGAAAAGGCCGTCACGTCCAGCTCCGTGCTGTGTGCGTGGCCGTATCGCTCAGCTCCCGGAAAGGACAGGTGCTGCGTGTGATTAGTACGCAGCCCCTGTCCTTATCTATGGGAGTATGCGGCAGTACGCCACCCTACGCTCACCCGCCTGCACGTCCGTGTGGGTGCGGGTGTCCGTACTCGTACGGTGACAGGATGGATCCTGTCAGTGCCCGAGCCAGGAAACACGCACCCGCATGGACCTGCACTTGGGGATAGCGTAGGGTGACGTACGGCCGCATACTCCCATAGAGAAGGACAGGGGCTGCGTATTAATCACACGCAGCACCTGTCCTTCCCGGGAGCTGAGCGATACGGCCATGCACACAGAACGGAGCTGTACGTGCTGGCCTTTTCCAGTGTGAATGAGGGCTTATTCTGTCCTATCTGAACTGATGGATATATACAAATAAGTGTGGCAAACGATTGTCTTCAGACTTAAAACGTCAATAAAATTTGCTATTTCCCAGTTTTGAAGCGTGGGAGTTGTAAAGGAGGGAAGATTTTAACAAGAATAGCAAACTGATGCTATCTGTATCTTTTCAAGGCCAACAGGCAATATTTAGACATGGACACAGAGTACAGGGAAAGTGTTTGAATAAAAAGGATTAAAACAACAAAAAGGGCTAAAGCGCACTATCTGCTGGGTAAAAGACTTCAATCGGCTATACAAAAATGTACTGTAGGAAAGTGAGTGATCAGGAATACAGTGTGCAAGCTCTGTCAAAAAACAGGGAGAGGAACCCTGTGGGTACACAACTAAATTCACACAATAAGAAAGCGCTACTACTGTAAAGAAACCACTCACGTTACTGTTGTCAGCATATCGTGTGTCCGCTGGTCCTACAGCGCCGGGAAAATGTGCAGGGGAACGAACTGAGGACTGTCAGGGGTAAATAAAAAGGATGCAAATGTAGAACCCTCGGGAAGAATTGTTAGGATATGGATGTATTTTAAGTCACGTCTGTAACATCCTTTAAATCCCAAGCATTAAACAAGACCTAAAGTATTCCATATCTGTTAAAAACCAAAACTCAATTGCCACTAGTAGGTTTTACTATTGTTTTTGTTTTTTTAAATACCTTGGAGCTCACGGTCTATTTTTATTTTACACTTCTCTAGTTTATATTCTTAATGCTATCTTTCTGAATCCTGAAAATATAAAAAAATGGAACTTTAGGCTCTGCAATGCTTCATTTTACTTGTCTCTCTTCCCCGCTACATCAGATGACTGACACAAAATCTGATGGCCATGAATAAGCAAAATGGAGGGAAAAAAACAATCCAAGTAATACAGCTTTGAAATGAAAGTGCCATGCTATGTTTCAATATGTTTGAGAATAAATGGGCAATAGTGTTTATGCACAGCAAGAAGAAAGAGCAACAATGGACAGTTTAAACCCTTCTTTATAGAATTTGTTGCACTTCATAAGTCAAAAGAAAATACTGCAGGTAAAGTTCACATTAAATTCAGTTGCAGGAAAATATTTCAGTGCCAATAATACAAGTACACAAGGGAGCAGTGGATTTTGGGCTATTTTCCAGAGGAGTGGAGAAATTCACAATAAATATTATGTGAAGGGATGGCAAAAGAGGTTTTGTTAACAGCTAATGTTGCTGAACAAGACAGCAGCCTAGCACTACGTAAATACATTTTGTGTGCTGTATTTGTTGGGGAAGACACAAGTGCTTAAAAAAACAACAAAACACATTAAAAACATCCAAAGGCAATAGTGTTCCACTCAAGGACCTAAACATTGAAAGGAAAACTCAATTTTTACTGAGCAATTGATGTAAGATACAGAATATAATTGCTACGCAATACTTTTTTTTCATGTGATGTTATAAAATAAAAGTTGCCTTTGTATTTCAACTACAGTTTTAAAAAATGTAAAGAAAAAATAAAATGTTGCGTCCTTAAAGTGACACTAAACTCTGGAGTTAAATCCTCAAAATACATTCAAGTCAAGGGTGGCTACTTTTGTTCCCATGGTCCCTGTGTGTGTTGTAAAGTAGCCACCGCTCCAAACTCATGATGGGCTATAATTTCAATACAAATGACCTAAGTAAACATGAGATTGTAGTCTATCATGGGAGGGAGCTTGGAGCGGTGGCTACTTTATAACACACACAAGGACCATGAGGAACAAAAGTAGCCTCCAGTGTTAACACCAATTCAGAGATAATTTGAGGATCTACAGCTGAGTGATACACAAATAAGATACATTTTTGTTAATAGTTAGGGTACTTGAATGCATTTCTAAGATTTAACACCTGAGTTTAGTAGCACTTTAATCACTATGACACATGGGATAAAATGCACCAACATATCTAATTTCCACTTGTGTTATTGCCTTACTGCTTTTCCTAGAAGTCAAGTTTAATTTGCAGCAGAATTTCCCTTCTGTTAAGATACTTCCAAAGATCTTTTAAAAATTTAAAATGTATCTAAACCCAGCAACAAAATATTATATATTGCAGTTTAGTAGTTCTTAGATGTGATGGCAACATTAGCTCTATTTTTCAGGTGTTTATTCCTTTATTTCCTACCACTGGGTGGCTACACTTAATCATTCCACTTTGCCACTCGGACTGCTCTCCTGATTTTGATTACCATTCAGGGCAAAATGACAGTTTCAGTGTAAAGCCAGTGTGACCCAATGAGTTACTAATACTCACCTCTCCAGCAATTCCCTGTCATTGCCTCCTTAATCACAGCTGGCCTAAAAAAAACCCAGTGCTCCTGAGTATGGGAGACCCATGATGAAGTTCTAAGGCCTGACAGGTAATCACTAAGCCTGAACACTGTCCCATTATGAGGGGGAATGACATCAATGACTTCTAGTTTTTGATACCGGCCAACAGCTGCAGGATGACTGCATCAACCATTTATTTGCTGGCATTGCAGCTCCAAATGTTGCTAAACGGACCCATGGCAGCTGGAAAATTTGCTAACAGGACAAAGATAAGTAAAGAACTAAATTTGCTAACAGGACAAAGATAAGTAAAGAACTGTGAAAAGGGAGAGAGAAAGGTAATCGAATATAACACTGTAAGTAAAGAATGCACAGTAGATATAGGTAGAAAATTTATGATGGTTGACTTTGGCTCAAGACTGGCACATCCAGGCAGGATTTGAGGTGAATAGTCATTTCATGTACGGTTATTTAGACATTATAACAATATTCTAAACCCTATGTATAAGAGGTGATTCTAATTGAGAGGATATACATTGGGTGCTAACAGTTGTGTGGCTCCATTGATCCAAATCAAGTTCTGGGCATGTGTGTATCCTACAAAAATATGTCTATATGGATAGAGACAATCCATAACCCCGCTCTTATATTAGGGGAACAAAAGACTGTCTGATGAAAATCCCCAATTTTCTTTTTCCTGAAAGAGTTCTGGCAAAATTGTCTATAGAATTCTATTCACATTTTGGCCAGAACCCAATCACACCACATTTTTTTAAAGATTGGCTAACAATCTTTTCATACCATTTGGTACCTTTACAGCTATTCAATAATATTATTCACTTTTAAAATGTATGCAGTGATTAAGGTTAACAGATACTTTAAATAAATAATAAGAAGATACACATTTGTTGCTATTAACTACTCTTCCACCTTTACTAGATAGCTCCATTTAATATGTAGTGATATGTAGTTATATTTGACCCCTTGCCTGTTCTTTACTATTATGGTAGAATCTACCTATTTCCATGAAGGATCCAACATGGGTAAAGAGCAGGGCAAAGAATCACTGTGCCAATCACCCTCTTTTGGGCTCTCCCTAGTGTGTAAGAACACATATACATTCATTCTTTTTCTCTCCATCCTGTTTTCCTACATGTATCCATTTTGTCTTTTTCTGTTAACAAGAACAACCTTGTGTAACCTTTGCAATTAGTTAAGTTAAATCGTTACGCATTCCAGTTTTGATAGAAAACTAGTTGCTCGTCCTTGAAGGTCTTCATAGAGATAAAAGTTAATGTATGCGCTGTCAGGACCACTTCATTAACAGAAACATATTTAAAGCTATGAGTTCACCCAATAAAGGAGGAATTGCTATTCTGATACCTTTGGCATGTTAGTGTGATTCCTCAGTGTCCATGCACACTAAACGGGCTAAACTTTCCTTTCTTTGATATAACAATCAACCTGTCAAAGACACTAGCAATATACAAAGAAACTTTTTGGATCCTTGAAAATAGTAACTGAGCTGAAAAGTCTATTTGCAGTGTAACTCCCAAACCAAGGATGCCAAGAGATCTTGCCTAGCAGGATCTTTGATAGCAGTAAAACTTGGCACATGATAGAAACCTAACGAAATCTGTTTTGTATGAAGCAGCTGTTGAAAAAGTTTGGCTAGGGCACACTAAACAGAAGACACTTTTGTAGGATAACATAAAGGAGGCTCCGCTCCTACTGCTCCTCCACCCTTCATACAGAAGACACAACATGCCGGTAAAAATAACCATTGTAACTGATCCTTTAGTGCTACTGTGCATGTACTTTTGTGATCATATAAGGTTCAGATTTCAAATAAGTGTGCATTGCTTTAGTTTTTATACATTTCAATGTGAATATATGGCAAAAGCATAGCAAATGCATCTTAAACACCCATGTACACTAGCCCTTAACGTGTATCTTTAACAGAAACTTTGTTATCAGGATAAACAGAGGGTGATTCTCCCCAGCAGGAACACAAACAGCAAAATGGAAATAACGGGGGTTCTAACCTATCCCTACTCTATCCAAAACTTATTAGACGTACATTATAAGATAGCATCATGTTCTATGAAAATTAGGTTGGACTTAGTATACCTAGAAAATGTATATGTAAGGAACTACATTATTTAAGTAAATAAAAAACAAGAGACTTGGTGAAAAAAACAAATACAAAAACAGTTTTCCTACCGAGTGCAGTTTCTGGTACAAGCCACATGCGTTGCAGACGTAGCCTCCATTTGCATTCTTTCTCCATAGAGAAGTCTTTGTGGTCAGGCAATTGGCACAAAAAACTCCGGAGCCTCTACGTCTCTGTAAATTAAAGAAAGCAAACCGTACATGAAACACAAGCAACAGTATTATTATTATTTTTTTCATGTAAAGTTAAATTAGCAAAGGTTTCCTGTAACATAGCCGAACAAGGTCTACTCTACCGGGATATCAGTGGGCCAAGGCTTCAGGCCAAATTAAGCACAAATGAAATTGTCTTCATCATAATTAGATCTACTTGTTCTAATTAATTACTTTGCTTTTGGACAAACCGTAAATTCGGACTGCTGGCTGAACTTAAGGATTAAATGTCCCTACAATTAAAATTGGCAGGAACATTCATAAAAGAAAATAAAAATGACAAAAGCTATAAAGTAATATACCTATGTACATTTGTAGTTAACCAGACGACAAGTATATAAATATTAAAAACGTCAAACCTGACTGAAGTCATTAATAATGTGTCCAAAAATGATTATACTATTTCCATGGATCCTTAATGTTTTGTGACACACACACGCACAAACACACACCTTCTTGCAAGTTTATTTAGGACCTGATGATTTTGGAGTTAGATATGGAAGCACGTAGCACCTACATAAGCTTATCTAAGCCTTGTCCCTTCATCCCATCTGATGTGATTGGAGGCAGACAATTGTGGAAGTCAGAATCACATCTAAAGGAATTTTAGAAGTCTTTATTGCACTCTGGAAACACAGCTAAATGTATGCAGGACCCACCATCTTCTAGTAGTTTAAGATCTACAATGATTACACAAGCACAGTGCTGCATTGGAATTATTATTGATGTCTCCTAGTAGCGCAGGTACTGAATGAAACAGGTATGTGAAGAAGATGCTTTCCTTGTTCTCCATTCTTGTCTGCCATTATAGTGCACTATAAACTCATGTTAAGTTTACTAATTTGTATTGAGATTGTAGTCCATCACAGGGATGGACTACAATCTGAGCTTGGAGCGGTGGTTACTTCACAACACACACAGGGACCATGGGGAACAAAAGTAGCCCCCCTCCAGAATGAAGGACTGCACCAGCGCCAATTCAGAGATGATTTGAGTGATACACAAATAAGATCCATTTTTGTTAATAGTTAAGGTACTTGAATGTAGGGCTGCAACAACAAGTCGATTATATCGACGAAGTCGATTCTAATCGATGATGGAAATTGAATGCATGTTTAAGATTTAACTTAAAAATGCATTCAAATTCAAGTATAGTGTCACTTTGAACTCATAGGGGTCTATTCACGAAGCTGCCGAAGGATCTGGCCGTAGCTTCGGCCGATCCTTCGGCTAGCTTCGGCCCCAGTACCCCCACCGAAGGGGTGCTGTACTGGCTATTCACAATAGCCCGTACAGCTCCCGATCATGGTGATTATTCTGACAGGAGCGATGTCAGAATAGAAAAAAACATTTCAAAAAATTTTTCCCATTGAAAAGCATTGGGACATTACATTTTGGTTATTTCAATTTGCAATAGCCAATAGTAAACTAGCATTGGAACCGCCCTCTGCTGCAGTTCCCCATCAGGTCCATCAGCAGAGAGCGGGCACAATGCTAGTAATGTCCCAATGCTTTTCAATGGGAATTTTTTTTTTTTTAACCAGCCTGAAGTGAATAGCCGAACAGTGTTCGGCTCACTTCACTTCAGATCGGTCATTCACTCGGCTGCCCTCGGCAGCTTCGTTAATAGACCCCATAGTAATCTTCTAAGATTGTGTGTACAATTTTATACAATCCCCACAAAGTCAAAATGGCCGTCCTAGAGCACAGATTTGCTGAACTCTAATGATGACTTCTTAGAAATATTAAACCTTATAAACAGCTGAAAGTTATATAACAATTTCTGGCATTTCTTTTAGTTGATTCATCTAAGAATGATATTGATTTCACACATTAATAGTGGTGATTATCAAAGAGTGTTTTCGGGAAAATCTGTGTGACAAAGTGGCAGCAATCCTCTTTCTAGCACAAAAACAAAGCAGTGTCTCACCATGGGCGTACCACAGTGTTATGTTGGCCAAAGCAGTAAGGAAATCTGCAGGGAGTCCAAGAAAACCAGTAAAGCAAGCCAGGACGGGCATATACCTCACTGCTCTATGTTTTTAGTGAAATATCTTCCATCTATTGCTGCAGTTAACCCTCGCTGTAAATATATAGAGTATTTCCACTGTTTACGTTCAGGTGATGATGAGAAACAGAAGGTCAAGCTCTCGTTTAGAAGCAATTGCCAAGTTTGGATTCATGCCCTAATTTCAAACTAGAGTGTTATATTTCTGTAAGTACAAATATTTAATTACTATTTAGTAACTACCTGTCCACAGGTAATTTGATATTTGCATGAATCCTTAATGATAAATGGTACTTTTAATATTTTTACAAGTTGCCAAATCTTACCAATTTCCTATTCTCACCTTTACACATTGCATGACAGCAACGTCTCCAGAAATCTAATGTAAAGTGTCACCATCAATTGTAGTTTCCTGGCAGAAGGCAAGGAAAGACTCTCAAGAGATTTATTAACCATGACCGGATAGATAATGAAGCCACCAGATTACAGAGGGTCTAAAAGTGAATCAGCTGCAAATCAGCTATTCAGAACCACAGAACAGAAAATCAGATAGCTGCAAGTTTATGGAAGGAAGATGTGTTTTATATCTTTAGGGACAATTGACAAAAATTGACAAAATTAACACTAGCAAGGAAGATCTTTTCCCTAACTTTCAAATCAAGTACCTCTGCCCTAACACAGGAAAGAAACTTCAAAGTACTAACAAGATGGTATAGATGTCCATATAACTTATACAAGATGAACCCTAAAAATTCCAAGTTGTGTTGGAGGTGTTTTGTAGAAGATGGGACGATGATACATATCTGGTGGTTGTGTAAGATGATAAGATCTTACTGGAAATCAATCTTGGACATAGCACAAGAGCTAACGGGACTCCATGGTTTGGAGACACCTGAGGTGGCTCTGCTGTCTCTACACCATGGTTCGCCCGAAGAAAAAAGAAAAAAGGCCTATTGGGCCCGATCCTTGCAGCTGCAAGGGCAGTAATACCTAGACATTGGAAGTCCACCAGCTCTCCCCAGATATCGGAATGGGTGGAAGAACTAAATAATGTAATGCGATCTGAAGAGCTCATGGCCCGCTTATATAATAGACACACGCCATTTGGGGAGAGGTGGAGTCCATGGAGGGATTACATGAGCTCACAAGAGATTCTTAGATTTTTATAGGGGTAAATCCAGAATAAGCCTAATGTTGGATTATTTTATCCTGATCTGATACCTGTTCTGACTTAACGTTCCTTCTCTTCCTTTTGTTCTTTTCGCTTCCTCCCTAGCGATTAATTATACTTACAACACCCCTGATACCCTTGATTGTGTGGGAATGTCTGTTTTTGGGGGCGGGGGGGGGGAAGAAAGGTGTTAGGGTTTTAGTGTTATATGTCACTTATTTGTTTTAAGGGAGTAGGAATATGGAGGGAACTACACAAAAAAAATTGAGATGATTCTTACTATAGGTGTAATGTTAAGTGTGCGGGAATGAATTATGTTTGTTATTTGTATTTGTATGATATGTGAAATTTGAAAACTCGATAAATAAATATTTGGAAAAAAAAAGCAAAGAAAAAAATATATGCACGCGCATATACACACTAAGCGGGTTACTTACAAAGCTGCCGTAGGCGGCCGAGTGAATAACCGACCCGAAGTGAAGTGAGCTGAACGCTGTTCGGCTATTCACTCGAGGCTTGTACGGCTGATTTCAGCCGTACACCGACTAAAATCGGCTTGCTGCGGCTGGCTTCGGGTCGGCCAAACGTGCTCAGCATCACAGCAGATCCGCCGGGTTCTCAGTGTAATGACAGATCAGCCTCCTTGGTTACCTGGTAACCAGGGAGGCTGATCTGTCTCTGCAAGTGGCCAGAGCCAGCAGTGAGATGACGGCTTCGGCCCCAGGACCCCTTCGGTTCAGTAGAAACGAAAGGGCTGCTGTACGGGCTATTCGGGAGTACGGGAGTTCAGTGGAGCCAAAGGCATACGCTTCGGCTCGACTGCGCCCTGGTGAAATTAGAAGCTGGCTGAACAGTCAGCCGACAGCCTGCTACTGAAAGCTGGGCTGAGCCAATGGCCGGCCGTATGGCGAGCTTCGAATTTCACCTGGGCTAAGCCCCTCTGCCAACTTCAGGAGCTGTACAGGCTATAGTGACTAGCCCGTACAGCAGCCCTTCAGTTCTACTGAACCGAAGGGGTCCTGGGGCCGAAGGATCAGCCGAAGCTACGGCTAGATCCTTCGGCAGCTATGTGAATAACCACCTAAATCTTATCAGAAAAAAGTGCAAGTGGGTGGGATGTATTTTACCCGGGAAGTCAAAAAAGCAAAACCTCTTGCATAGAAAAAAATCTAGATTAGAGAGGCCAAAAGAAGATAGATTTCTGGCTAATAACAATAACAGAAGGCCTCGTGTGGTTCCTGGTACTAGGCAAGACTTTCACTTTAATTTTTATTTGAAATGACAGGTTCCCTTTAAGAGGAGCAGGCGTCAGCAAAACTCACAAAGTCCCAAAGACTGTTAAGATCATTTGAAATATTTGTGAGATATCACTGAATCATACAATGGCATATTTTTGCCCACACTCCCAAAAACATCCGCCTTGGACAACAGCCTAATCCTGCCTGGGTATTTCATATGTACACGGACACTTCATCACTCTCGCTCAGGCAAACTGACAAAAATTGTGCAAATCCACTTTATTACACAGGAAATGACATTTATTATAAACTAGCCATTTTAAAGGATTTCTTCCAAATTTGCTGATTTTCTCTTTTTTTTTTTTTCAACAAGACTATGCTGCAGAAATTGAGTTGACTGCCAAAGGAATACAATGGGTGTAATTGTACTCTGATACGTTTCAAAGAAAAAAAAACCTTTGTGCAGACATAATTTTGGCCTGTGGAACTGAGCGTTTTCTTGGCATTAACTTGTCAGTTTATTCATCGAGTGTTTCACAATGAG